AAATACTGAATTTCATAACCATGATGGTGCTTGGATAGAAGAAATGATTCCTAAAGGCTTGAAAAAAAATGTCAGGTGTTTTAATTGTGGTAACAAGATCACCTAAAAAGGGATTATAGACAGGGAGTTCCTAGAAACAATGTTTTTGTCTAAGAATAATCTGAACAGAAGGCCCCTGCCTTCTGAAGTACATAGATGGTGTATCAAAGGCTAACCTTGGATCAATGAATGTGAATCAACAAGTGATATACAGGGTAACCCTTTGCTATCTGGAAATGTCTTGAGCTGCCTCTCACAGTCCCCCATGTGGAATTTGGTTCAGTCATTCCATGTCACTGGGGGAGAAACTCCTCCCCAGAGCAATTAAATGAACTAATGCCTATTATCAAAAACCATAGTGCTCTGGATGAAAATTTCAGGAGAAAAAATGAAGCAAAGATTATAAAGATAAGATTCTGACAAGAAAGGCCTCTAGATTAGAAGAGGTGATAGTTGATCATCTAGAGTGACCATTCAATCTAAACTAACTTTTAAGACTAACAAATGTTTTTCATTTGTTCAGATACAACTTGCCAAAAGGGAAACTCCCAAAGTTAGAGTTGGGGCAGTGTTTTTTGTCTTTCCAGGAGAATGAAGGCAATCAGCAAAGGAATCTGAAAATCACTGGAGAAATGAGACATCTGAAGAAAAAGGATGAATCATTCAGAGAAAATGTCTCAAGAAAAAGAGTATATTGGCCTATTGTTATATTGCATATCAAGCAGGATAACATTTTATAAGTTTTCATAAATGTTTGTTTCTGCTGTCCTCTACAGACACATAATACAAATGGTCTTTTTAGTCCCAATTCAATTAAAATTAAAGCTGGCTTTGGAGATATATCATGGCTCTCTCTTTCTCTAAACCCAAGCATGATTGTTAAAAGGTAAATCCAAAATCTCTGTTTTATGTCAGAAGAGCCATCTGATATGAGACAGAAGAAAAACCAAAATTAATGGACTATTCTATTGTTACTAATCTCATTATCCTTTGGTCTTATTTTGACTCTTTAAAACTTTTCTTGAGGCATGTGTAGATATAACCAACTGTCTTATTAAAATAAGAAACACAGAACCAATGTAAAAGAGAAAGCCGAGACGTCAGAGCTCAGAGCTAAAATCTTACCTCCTGCAGTGCTCCTAGCTTCCCCCAAAGAGAGCTACTTCCTGTGTGCCTGTCTTTAAATAGTCTTTCTGTTCTGCCTTCTCATTGGTTGTAAATCCAAACACATGACTGCCTCGTTACTGCCTGTAAGTACCGCCCTCCAGGTCTTTAAGGCATATGTCTCCAATGCTGGCTGTATCCCTGAACATACAGAAATCTATCTTCTACCAAGTGCTGGGATTAAAGGTATGTGCCCCCACTGCTGTCACCGCCACCACCACCACCACCACCATAGCTCTTGCTATGGCTCTAACAGCTCTGACCCCAGGGCAACTTTATTTATTAACATATAATTAAAATCACATTTCAGTACAAATAAAATACCACCATAGGTATGAATATTATATCAAAATTTATAAGACACATATATATTAAACTTTTTGTCATGATATTAATGGGCAAATATAGTACTAACTAATTCTAGACAAAGGCTTCATCTAGCTTCCTGTACATGATTTTGGGTTTGAGTCTCTATCAGGTAACTAAGAATTAAGTTTCTGTACTCTGGATGTATATAACAAATTATGGTCCTTTAACCTCTTTGAGATCTGCTGTATATGACATTTAAAATGTTTAAGTTTTATGCAATGAACCATGATCATGCCTAACAGCAACCTTTGAAGGCTACAATTGGAGGATGGGGCCCCAAAACAATGATTCCACTTGAACTATAGTAATGTCAATAAGTTGACAAACACCACTTAAAGATCAGCTTTGAACTACAAACTGCTCAGGACAATTACAAGGTGGCTGGCTGAGATGATCCAGCCTCACAGATTGCTCTAGCCAGGACTTGAGACAAGCCTGACACTTTCCTATTATACAGAGATTGGACACCAAATGATATAGTTAGCTCTCCCAGGATTTGACAATTATACCAGTTTTTTTTAAGGATCCCCTAGAAATGCCATTGCTCCCCCAGGTAGCAGGAAGTAATTTTAAGAACACAATGTCCACATTCCCAAGAGATGGGGTGGGTGCTTTCTGGTCATTTAGTGTGTTATGAATATTGCTGTTGTTTGGAATGGTTGGTTACAAGTTGTTATTGGTAATGGCCAGGAAAAAAGCTGACCAAAGGAGATTAGATTCAGGAATCTTGTTCTAAAAAGAAAAAGGTGAGGATATAGAAATAGGATAAAAAGGTAGATTAATGATTCTACTTTTAATACAAAAAAGCAACTATTAGTCTTAAATATTTTATATTGGCTTAGATTTTTGTATACTGATACAAATTTGAGGATATTTTTGTCATACTGTATATATGTTATAGAAATGATAGCATAAAAAGGTAGATTGTTGAATCTACTTTTAAACCAAAACAGTAACTACTAGTTTTAAATATTTTGCACTGATATGGATTTTTGTACATTGATACAAATTTAAGGTTATTTTTGTTAGAACATATTATACATATGTTTTTCCTCCTTTTCAAGGTATTGTGCCTATACAGCTCATCTAACAATGTAATGTAAACTTCTAGCCATTGAGAATCATTATTAGAAACTATTTAGAAAAATAAAGAAATGCGTATTAATAGCTAGTAACCTATTACAATCAAACTTGTAGCCAGGTTAGGTATGTTTTCAAGGTCAAACAGAGACATATTTTAGATAAACAGGTGGTCTCAGACACTTCAGAGATCTACAGAATATGGCATTTAAGATATTTTAATAACACAAAGTCCCTTTTTTCATGACAATGAAACATGTCTGCTCTTGGCAGCACCAATCAACTTCAGAGAAGATGATGGGCATCAAAGAAATTCCTTATGGAGTTGACTTTCCTTGTGGTAAAAGTTAGCTGCTGGGTAAGGAAGTGCCCTTGGCTTGTCTGCTGACAGTATGCTGTCCAAACTGGACAAGTAGGACACAAAAGAAAGTGACTGCAGAACTTTTCAAGACAAGGTGGGACAGTCCTTCAAAAATCCTGCTTCACAGTTCAGATATTCTAGGCCTGTAGGCCGAAGATAGATGTCTCAACATTGCAGAAGAACCTCGAGTGATTGTCTAGGCAGCCAGCTATTTCTGTCATTTCTTGTTTTGGGCAGTGGTTTGCTCTACACTTGCTGTTTACTCAAGTAATATTATATCCTTCTCAGGTCTATGATGGAGTTGAAGATCAGATAGTTATAGTTTTCCTTGCTACCAGACTCAGAAAAGAAACTCACTAAAGAGGTGTAAAGTGTATAATATTAAGAGGCATAAAAAGATAGTTTGGGGTTGGTAATGCAAGTTGGGATAGAAAGTGAATTAGGCACAACACTGGACTCACCAAGATAGGAGAGATAATGGAGTATTTTCTCTGAATTTGTTAAATGCTAGTGGACTAAATATTGTGAATATAATTATTGACTGTATATATTTGTACATAGTTATTGTGCTTATTGTATATAGTTTTTCTATGTTAGTTAAAATCTTTGCTTTTTATTTAGACAAAAAGGGGGAGAATGTGTGATACTTTGTTTGTGTTCTGACAAATAAAGATTTCCTGGAGATCAGAGGGCAGAGCTAGCCACCAGTTAACCATAGAAGTCTAGAGGTCATTACAGACAGGAGACAGGAAATGATTAGGCTGAATGGAGACAGGAAGTGATATGATGGGGTAGAAACAAGATCTTGGCCCTTTTGGTCTGAGGATTTGGAGAGGTAAATAGTCATTCACAGCTGCTGCTCTGCTTCTCTGACCTTTCAGCTTTTACCACAAAATCTGACTCTTGCTTTTTTGATAAGACTAATTAGGATCATGCTTTACATACCTCCATAAGAACAGGGTATTTTGCATCCTTCTCCTTCTCTGTTCTAAGTCTCTTAAAGTCTTGTATGATTTTAAATGTTCACTGTAGCACACTGACTTCTACATCTCTTTGTAGGAGTGTTGAGAGAAGATTCACTTTCTGAGATGCCTTTAATATAATAATTTCCTTTCCTGCCATATGGCTTGTATTCAAGGTATCAGGCAGAAATAAAGATGGGAAGGAATATTAGAACATCATGATGAGAAGGAGTACTGGAGCATCCAGAATCAGTGAGAAATGATGGTTGCAATTGCAACCACCAAATCTTTGTATAATTCTTGAATAGGAGGAGACTAAGTTTATATAATTTTCTATGAACATTTAAAACAGGGATGCAAATTTCATGGGTAGACATTTCTATTAGGAGTCACAGTCAGCTACTCCCAATATTTCTGGCTCATTGTGGTAATATGATACTTTGTCTTGTAAAAAAAAAATATCTGCTGTGTTGAGATCATGCTGTGCCCTGCTCTCAGTTACTCCATACAGCGCAGAACAGAGGTTTTTCAGCCTGTGATTTGCCCTGATAACCTTCATTTTACAAGTAAGTTTTGGCTCTACTTTGAGTATAGAAAATAACTGTGTACCTGGGTGAAGGTATGAATGAAACCATCTTTCTGTCACCACTCATGGAGCAATGATTGATAAATGACTATTTATTCTAGATTGTAGAAAGAAAACCACCCCAGAAATTTATTGGCATAAACTGGTATTGTAGGGGCACATGGGTATATTAGAACATATTGGGAAATACGTTTTCACTTTGTGTACAGAAGCATGTCTTTTGCTCAAGTAAAATTTAGTCTCATCTTGAGAATAAACACCTTTAATTTTCAGAAGAGCCTTGTGCTTTCTTTAGTTTTGGAGTCTCCACTAACTGCCAGAAAAATGACCTCACACCATAGCCTTCCAGACATAGTTGCCTATTAGAAGATCTCTACTGCTTTCAAATGAATTAATTTAGCATCCAGAAGCAAATGCACATTTATGATGGAGGCATGAAGCAAATTGAAGGTATAATTTTTATAATATGACTTAACAATTTCCATGCTGTTTCTAACCCATCATTTCATGTTTCCAAAAACTTTCTTTACAGGAGGAACCATCATTCTCATTGCAACTCTCAGATGAAAAGATTTGTAAGTGATTTATCCACCATCAATTTGGAGATCACAGCAGTCCAGGACATGGATCAAATAACTGTAGCCTAATTCCTCTTCTTCTCATCTTTCCCCAGTCACCTTCCTTCTCTCCCTTTACATATGTGTTGCCCCAGTGGCTCAGAGCATGCCTCACTTCTTCCTGCTCTTCTTTCTCTTTCTGCGTCTGACATCACAGTCTGGGGACAGCACAGAGGCGGTGACTGACCGGGGAAAGGGTGATACCCATTCTGAATTTCAGGCTCAGCTTCTCCTTGACTGGCGGCTTGAAGGTAAACTTTTGCACAAGAGCAGTGAAGAAAATAAAAAGCTCAGACCTGGCCAGTTGTTCTCCAGGGCAAGCTCGCTTTCCTGCAGGAAATAAAACAAGATGAGATACTTTCTCAGCTGCCACTGATGCATGCAGGGACTGGTGTTTCCATTTTCCTCCTGCAAATCCTGAACTGTCCCTGGGTTTTGTGTCCAGCTGTTTATTTATGTCTCATATGTGTCTGAATGTGGAATGTTCCACTGAACGTGGAACTCCAGGATCACAGTCTTCATGTGGGACAATAGAAATGAGATGCCTGATCTGGCTGAGAGAATGTATGACTAGTCTCAAGGCTTTTCAAATTCACTTAACAAACATATATGATGTAGCACACAAAGGCTGAACAGCAAAATCATGGACTGCTATAGAACCATTTTGAGGAGAGATAGCTTAATGATTAAAGTTATTTACTACTCTGTCAGAGGACTGGAGGTCAGATCTCAGCACTCACATCAGGAGGTGCACAAACCCCTGCAATGCAAGATTCAAGAGATTCGATGCCCCTTTCTGGCCTCCATGGGCACCATCACACACATACATGTAATATATGCACACAAAGACACATTCCCACATACGTAAATAAAATAAAATAAATCTTGGAGAATGAAATATATAAGCAGGTCCTAGAGCTGAATCCCTAACGTGAAAGCCAGAGTCATACAGGTTGCCCTTGCAGAGGTTCTAGCTTGTAAATGGCAGGCAACTAGAAACAGATGAAGCCTGGGGCAACTAGAAACAGATCAAGGCTGACATCTCTGCATTCATTTTGTACCTGTCTCCTGTCTCAAACATTGAGTCAGATCCCTCCTCAACTCTACAGAAAGGCATGTCCATCATTTAGTAAGTGCACATGCAAACTTGGCCATCATCCCTTTTGAGGATGAAAATACCAAGACAGGAGGATCTAAGGTGTGGCTATCAAATTGACAATAGCCAGTGTTTCTCTAGAAGAGCCTAGAGTGGCACCCAGAAGTCTTCACTCATTCTCTTAATATAACTCAGGAGTAGTAGAGCCTTGTTTGGTGAGACTGTCCCCTAAGCAGGACCTGTCATCTCATAGAGGACAACTGCTCGGCTTCCCTTAAGAACCTCTGTTCTGACAGGACCACATCCTGCAAAGAAAATGAAGAGTGAGCCGGGCGTTGGTGGAGCACACCTTTAATCCCAGCACTCAAGAGACAGAGTCAGGCAGATCTCTGTGAGTTCAAGGCCAGCCTGGTCTCCAAAACGAGTTCTGGGAAAGGTGCAAAGCTACACAGAGAAACTCTGTCGCGGGGGGGGGGGGGAAGAAAATGAAGAATGCTGCTCACTATCTGCATGAGCAGTGGAGGTTTGCTCAGCACCAAACACAAATTGCTCCTAGAAGTGGCTGCTTTCTGAAGACTAATGTCCCATGTGACCAGAACTGAGGTAATAATAATCAGCAAGGTTCAATGTGACAAAGACCAAGGTGGCCTCAGAGTACACATGGTTCTTCCCACCCTTCTGGTATAATCTGAGCACTCATGTCCACAGACTTAAAGACATGTTAGGCAGCTGTGTGTTTCTCTACTTCCCTGTATCATAGAAAATATAAAATTATTGCCTCTCTTTCTTCATTATAGTTTGCTTAATTTCTGGAGAAAACATTAGTGGGACTATCTTATGCCACAAATCACTTCCTGGTTTTGGGGTTCTGGTTACATCATCTTTCATCTTAGGCACCTCTATGATATGGATGGTTAACACATGACATGACACAATTGATTGCAGATGCTGTGTATCTTTTTGTCCTCTTCACATGGGGCGTGCATCCTCAACCTTTGCATAACTTTCAAGTGTTTGTTTTCTTAAAGATGATAGAAGGTATTTTTCTAATTATCTCCTTATCTACCAAATGGGCAGACTGGGGCCATAAGCATCTGCCCTGTTGGGAAGACATGACTCATGTTACATGGTGTTCTCATCTAACCTCTGCTGGCAGTTGGTTTTGAGATTTTATCATTGTGGAACACTTGGTGATGATGGTGTCTACCACGTTCTTCCTTAAACAGCATTTTAATTTTTGTAAGTGAACATATTTTGTGACTGTTAATAAACCAATCTTCATCTGCATGTTTCCACTGGTATTTCTCTTCCAAATTTTGCATGCACCTGAAAAATTGTGACATTAAAATTCTATCACATCTTTTATATATATTGCCATTCTTAAAAAAACTAATCTTTATTTTTATTTTATGTATGTTGGTGTTTTGTCTGCATGTATGTCTTTGCACCACATGTGTGTAGTACCCATTGTGGCCAGAAGAAGGGGTCAGATCCCCTGAGACTGGAACTAGAGATGGTTGTGAGCTGCCATGTGGGTACTGGGAATCGAATCTGGGTTCTCTGGAAGAGCAAAGAGTGCTCTTACCCACTGAGACACCTACATCTCCAGGCCCTGTGGTAACATTCTAACATTGGTCATGCTCTCTCTATTTAATCACTCATGAATATCAGTAAGTGTTACAACCTGTTACTAACCAGTACTTGTTTTAAAACTCCAAACATTTCTGACTTGACCATTCAAGCTGGCATTTTCTGATTTTTGGATAACAGTGTATTCAAAACTTATAGTTTTTCCTTCTCCGGGCATTTTCTGATTTTTGGATAACAGTGTATTCAAAACTTATAGTTTTTCCTTCTCCAGGATTGAATTTTGTCATTTTCCAGAAGTCCTGCTTCTTTTTTATCAAACAATAATATGTACAATATAACATGAAAAACCTGGTCATGAAGCTGACAGTGTCAGTCATGGAGTGACAGTTCCCAAATTGGACTCAATAGGTCTTTGTACTTCTGTTTTGTCTGTAGAGATATTTATCACAACTGTATGAGCATCCAGGATAAGATGTAAAGCAGGAGAACCAAGATTATCTAAGCTACTGACCCCATGTGGAAAGCAGTGAGCAGTAACAGGTTCTTATGAAGTAATACAGCTTGTGACTGCCTATTATACAGAAAGATGTTGACCAATACATAGGACATGAACTTGACAAATCTTAAAATGGATGGGCCCATAACTGAGGTGGCAAGTTACAGTCTGGATATAATATAAAGAGAACTAAACTTCAAGTTAAAACATAAGCCTTGTACCCTGCTCTGTCAATTCTTTGGGCACGTGATCTTGAATAAGAAAGAACCCTCTTCTTATCTCTCCTTGTTTGGAGGTTGCTTATGGGGTGATAGTAAACATTTATATTTCTTACCTGATAATTAATAACTATATTGCTGTAATAATTATGTGACACAATTGGTCTGTTAAGTGAAGTGTATAATTTAGAGTAAATGATAGCACCAGTGTCTCTGCATGTTGCCACTTTTATTTTACAGCTGGTGCAGATGGGAGAATTGTTTAAACTGGGTGAAGCCCGAGGCCACTATTGGAAGAGGATTTTTATAGTGAGGAGAAGACATGTTCAAGGGCAGCAATGGGCCTGGAAGAACATCTTCCTGTGGAAGCCATGATGGGGATCTACTCACATTCTTCTCACCACACTCCTAGGAATTATAACACAAAGCATTTACTTGGAAAATAAAAAGGATCATATTCATAGACTTTCCATATTTCATGGATCTGATTGATTAACTTAGAATAATTGAATAAGTGAAATATGTAGCTGAGGTTTTGTACTATAATTTAAAACTTTAAAAAATTTTATAAACTGGAAGACTGGAAAGAGTCCCTGTATATCATCAGCTTTCCTACTAAAGTGAGTTGAGAACAGTGAACAAAGGAACAGACAGTCCCAGATGGAAAGACAAAGAGGTCAGAAGCAGCCCCTGAAGACATACCCAGGGCAGCCCAGTCCCAAGAAACACTGGATCTGGATCTGGCTCTGGATCTGCATGCAAACACTAGCATGTAGGCAAATGCAGGCTCCCCTCGGCCTGAGTCTTAGTGTCATGAGAAGTGACACTGCCTCAGATAATCTGAAAAACTCAACAACATGTCCAGCATTCCAGTGTGGCTTCTGGGCAGTATTTATTCACCTTCTGAGACAGTGTTTGGAAACACAAGCTTCAGTGGGAGAAAATCTGGTGGACACTGAGCTCTAGCTGCAGCACACTTGCTAGATCTGTGTCCTTACCTCTGCAGTGATGACTAATTTCAACTGGAAAGGCTGCAGGGGGAGGCATGCTCCAAGGGGCAGCTCTGATTCATCTTCTATCCCACTACTTTCCTGCCCTCAGGGTGGATGTTTGATAGCTAATAATTGCTTAGAACATATTTATCAAATTAAAGAATTGTAAGATTGCTTGAAAAAACATATGCTACATATAAAAGCCAATATTTGGAATATACTAGAACATTTGGTTATTGATTTAGCAACACTACTACTACAATCTTTAGTAACTTGCCTGGCAGAAAACACAAGGGAAAAAAAGTCATCACTGTGTTTCCTTTCTTGCTTATCAGGTGGTATAGCAAATGCATGTACTAACTATATTTAACAAAGAGGATTGTAATTTACAAAGATAAGACATATTTAGACAGTGTTTATGGGATAGAAGTCAATTCACTTAAGCAAATGCCAGTTAAAACTATTTAACAAGACAAGTTAAAAACATTAAAACTCAGCTCTCTTCCTTCTAAGGAGGCATTCCCTTATAAAGAACTTGTGGCACTCAAACTGCCTACACAATGGAAGTATCCAACTTTGCTGCTCAGCAAGAGGCAGAGATTAGGTCTCTGCTGTCAGTGCTGTAGAAAACAGAACAAAGTTGAAATCTTCATCAGAAGTAAGGAAGCATTGATAATGTATGTGTGGGGGTGCTGAACTGAAACCAATTGCAAAATGGAGATCTACTGGGAAGGCTCATCTGTAAGGATCCCAGAAAGAAGGGAAGGGATGAGGTGGAACTCTGAACTGTCTTCTGTGCATCACAACTCACCCATTGAGAAAGGCAGGAAAGATTCTCTCTTCTTAAACTGTCCATTCTCCAAAAAGTGCTCTGGATTGAAGATGTCTGGCGTGGCCCATTCTTTGGGGTCCATGTGCAGTGCAGTCAAGTTGGTTTGGACTAAAGTACCCTAGAGAAGGTAGTAAAGACTCAAGACAATGTATGGACAAGACACAGACAGATGGCTGGTGGTTATCAATCTTCCATGCTTGAGCCTACTTACCTTTGGCAGGTGGAATCCAGCCAATGTAGTGTCAACTGTCACTTCCCTGGGAACATTTAGAGGGATGATATTTCCCATTCTCAGCACCTCATGGACAACAGCAGTGGTGTAGGGCATGGAGTTTCGGTCAGCCAGGCTGGGCTGCTTCTCCTGGCCAATCACTCTGTCAATTTCAGCCTGTACTTTTTCTTCAAGGAAATAAGAGGCTGCATTAAGTTTTAAACTTCATTGCTTTCTTCTTAAGATAGAGAAAGCTGTCTTCTAAAACTTATTTGCTTTTATTTTATCTAGTGTCCTGATTGTGAGGAAACAAAAGTTCTCTACCCTCTAACAAGCCTGATTTAGAAAACTGCAAACTCTATTCCTTTCTTCAAGCCTACAGCATAACTATGAATTTATGTATATCCTGAAGTTAATAATCAGGATGGCCATGGCTGAGCTCATATCAGTGTCTATTCAGACATCTACAAAAAATACTTTTTACTGAAATGATTATCATCAGTATACTTTTGCTTTTTTTTTTTTACTTGTAGAGTCTGTGAGTTCTAAGATTAGGACATTAACAGATTTCTTGTCTGGTAAGGACCAATTTCTTTGTCATAGTTGAGAAATCCTTGTTGTATCATCATGCCATAAGGTGGAAAGAACCCATCTAATTCCTCTTCCTAAAGAACAAACTCCCTTCATAACAGCGAATCACCTCCTCATACCATCCCATTGGTAAATAAGCTTCAATGAGTTTATAGGGAAGCCACAAATATTGAGACCACAGCATATCCACCGACTAATTTCTCAAGGGTATATGTCATCATGGGCAGTGAATTGTAATGCATTTCAGGGCAAGGTTGATAGTGAAACTAGTAATATTTTATGAGCTTCAGTTTCTTCATCTGATTATTGAGAATAAGTCAGCTTTATCATAAGGGCATTTTGAGATTTCCTGATTCTGCATAATCAATGAAACCAATAATAGATATTCCTCTTAATATCTTCACTATTGTAGAACAGTAGAGATTCAGCTGTTAACCTGCTTTTCAAGGTAAAGATCTAATTTCCCAGATTCTTTAAAGAGGAAATGTGACTTAATTTTGCAAGTTAACATAAGTGCTGTGGGATGGTCCTTCTAAAATCTGTAAATAGTTATATCTCTCATTGATTGATAATAAAGCTGTTTTGGCCTATGTCAAGGCAGGGTAAGGTTAAGCAAAACATTCAAATGAAGAACTCAGAGGAAGAGGAGAGGAGTCTACAGAGACACAAGAATCCACTGATGAAGCAAGATGTCAGAGGATCGGTAATCCAGGGACCACATGGCAATACATAGATTAATAAAAATCAGTTAACTTAAATGTAAAAGCTTATTATGTTGAGGGCGATGTTTTGCTTTTGTTTCTACAAGAGAAGAAAAGCTATGGATACCATCAACATTGACACAGGTTCAATTTGAACAAGAGAGACCTCTTAATTAGAAGAGGTGATAGTTCATTAACCAGCATGACCATTCAATTTAAACTAACTTATACCACTAACAAATGCTTTTCATTTAATCAGATATAACTTGCCAAAAGGGAACCTCCTGAAAGTTAGGCTTGGGGAAGGCTTTTTGTTTTTGTCTTTCAGGAGAATGAAGGCTAAGGAATCTGAAGAACACTGGACAAATGAGACATCTGAAGAAAAAGGACAAATCATCCAGAAAAGATGTCTCAAAAAGAAGAATGAATTGGTCTGTTGGTATATCACATATAAAATTTCATAAGTTGTGATATTTTATTTGTATTAAATGTTAGTTATTTGTATGTTAATAAATAAAGTTGCCCGGGGTTCAGAGCTATTAGCAAGCCATAGGAAAGCAGGGCAGTGGTGGCGTACACCTGTAATCCCAGCACTTGGTAGGCAGAGCTAGGTAAGTCTCTGTATGTTCAGGGATATAACCAGCAATGAATACACACTCCTTTAATCTCAATACCAACCATAGAAGACCTGAAGGTCTATACAGACAGGCCGTGAGGAGGCAGTCATATGGTTGGGTTTACAACCAATGAGAAGGCAAAACAGAAACTCTATATAAAGACTTTAACACAGGAAAAATAGCTCTGGTTCAGAGAGGTAGGACCACTGCAGGAGGAAGGGTAAGATTTTAGCTCTTAGCTCTGACCTCTTGGCTTTCTTCTTTGCATTGGTTCTGTGTTTCTTATTTAATAACATGGTTGGTTACATCTACAATAAGTCTTCCTAAATGTTTGTTTCTGCTGTTCTTTACAGATACTTAGTGCAGATAGTCTTTATGTAATCTCAGTTCAATTAAAAAGTAAAGCTAGCTTTGGAGTTGTATTGTGGTTCTCTCCTTCTCTAAACTCAAGCATGCTTGTCAAAATAAAATGCAAAATCTCAGTATCATGTCAGAAGAGCCTTCTGATATGGGACAGATGAAAGCCAAACTTAAGGGACTATTCTGCTGCCACTAATCTCATAATTATTTAGTTCTATTTTGATTCTTTAAAACTTTTCTTAAGGTATGACTTTTATATCAAAATTTATAAGATTTATATATATATATTAAATTTTTGTCATGGTATTAATGGTCATATAGAATACTAACTAATCCTAGAAAAAAGGCTTCTCTAGTCTCTTACACATGTTTTCATGTTTGAGTCTCTATCACTTTTCTGCAGGGAACCATGACTGTGCCTAACAGCAACTTTAAAGCCTCCAAAAAGATGATGAGGCCCCACAATGATGATTCCATCAGGACGAAGATAATATCACTAATCTGACAAACATCATCCAAATATGAGCTTTTGACTACAAACTGCTCAGGACAATTTCAAGTTGGCTAGCTGAGATGGTCCAGCCTCACAGACTACTCAAGCAAGGACTGGAGATAATCCCTGCATTTGCACATTATAGCCAATAAATGATAGAGCTAGCTCTCGCAGAACTTGACAATTAACCACCAAATTTTTCTTTTCAGGATCCCTTAAAGATGCCTTTGCCCCCAGACAGCAGGAAGTAATTTTAAGAACATGACACCCATATTCCCAAGAGGTGGGGTGGGTGGTTTTTGGTCATTCAATGGGTTATGGATAAGTGATATTGTTTAGGATGGTTGTTTACAAGTTGTTAATTGATAATGGTCAGGAAAAAGCTAAACAAGGAGATTAGATTCAGCATTTTTGTTTGAAAAAAAAGAAAGAAAAAGAAAAAAGAGGATATAGATAAGAGGTAGATTATTGAATCTACTCTAAAAAAAAGAGATACAGAAATAATAGGATAATAGACTAGATTATTGAATCTACTCTGAAAAGAAAAAAGAGAGAATATGGGTATGATAGGATAAAAAGGTAGATTATAGAATCTACTTTTAAAAGTCAACTACTTGTAGAAGGAATCTTAAAGGTACTTATTAATAAAATCAAACCTGAGCCAGGTATTGGGGTGAACAGTGGAAAATCAGAGAACCAGAACAAGCCACAGCTACCTCACCTCGCCAGATCCTCAGCTGGTCTTGTTTCCTCAGACTGGAGGCCTCTGAGTCCTCATCCAGAATGGGTCTCAGCTGAATTGCTGCTCAAAAACTTCTAGTTTCTAGTCCTCACGCCTTATATACCTTTCTGCTTTCAGCCACCACTCCCTGGGATTAAAGGCTTGCTTTCTGGGATTAAAGGCATGAGTCACCATGCTTGGCTGTATCCTTGAACACATGGATTTCTGCCTCTGGAATGCTAGGATTAGAGGCGTGTGCTACCCCTGCCTATCCTCTATGTTTAATATTGTGGCTGTTCTGTCTCTGACCCCAGATAAGTTTATTAGGGTGCACAATATTTCAGGGAACACAATACCACCACAACTACTAATTTTAAATATTTTACATTGGATTGGATTTTTGTATATTGTATACAAATTATGTATATTGCTACAAATTTGAGATTGTTTTATATAGATATGATAAGATTAGAAGGTAGATTATTGAATCTATTTTTAAAAGGCAACTACTAGTTTTAAATATATTACATTGGAATGGATTTTTTGTATGTTATATACAAATTATGTATATTGATACAAATTTGAGATTGATTTTGTTAGGAAATACTGTACATATATTTCTAATATTATTCAAGGTCTTGTACCTATACAGTTCATTTAACAATGTAATGCAATTTGCTAATCCTTATTATTACCAACTAATTAGGATATAAAGAAATATAAGTTAATAGTCATTACAATTGAACTTGTAGTCATATGAGTTATGTTTTCAAGGTCAAGTAGAAAAATATTTTAGGCAGACAGGTCATCTTCAAATCCTTCAGAGATCTGAAGAATATGGCATTTAAGATGTTTTAATAATAATTTTTCTTTTTTTATGACTATGAGACATATCTGCTCCTGGCAGGACCAATCTACTTCAGAGAAGATGATGGGCATTGAAGAAACTCCACATGGAGTTTAATTTCATTGTGGCAAAAGTTAGCCACTGGGCAAGAAAGTGCCCTTACGTCAACTGCTGACAGTATGCTATCCAAAATGGACAAGCAGGACACACACAAAAAAAGGACTGCTGATCCTTGCCAGGACAAGGTGGGAAGGCTCTTTAGAAAATCCTGCTTCATAGATGAGTCTGTAAGATATGATAAGCCTGTAGGCCAAAGATGATGCCCCAGTGTTGCAGAGAAAATTTGGGTGACTATCTAGGCAGTTGGCTGTTTCTGTCATAACTCACATTTTTTGGAAGTTGCTTGATAGCACTTCCTGTTTTACTAGGTAATATTATTTCCTTCACAGGTCTCTGAGGGAATTGAAGATTAGATAGTTATACTTATAGTTTTCCTTGTTAACAATTTCAGAAAAGAAACTCACTAAAGAGGTATAAAGTGTATAAGTTTGCAAGACATCAAAAGATAGTTTTGGTAATGCAAATTAGGATAGAAGATAAATTAGATACAATCCTTTGGATTCACAAAGATAGGATAGATAATGGAATATTTTCTCTGAATTTGTCAAACGCAAATAGACTAGACATTGTTGATGCATCTATTGCCTGTATATACTGTATATAGTTATTGTATTACTGTATATAGTTTTCTCAGATTAGTTATAACTTTTTTATTTTAGACAAAAAAGGGGAAATGTGGTGATATTTTATTTGTGCTCTAATAAATAAAGCTTATCTAGGGATTAGAGGCAAAAACCA